CACCTTCTCTCTCTCTCTCTCTCTCTCTCTCTCTTTCTAGTACATCCTTGAGTAAAGACAATCCCACAAAGCTTACCCCGACACCCTTGCACACATTGATGAATTCACACAGTCATAAATTCGTACAGAACAGAACAGCATTAATAAACAATACTGAGAGAACATAATAGATACTGAGAGAACATAATAATATTTGTATTGGGAATGTCTGAAATTACAGATTGAAACTGGACTGAAACAAATGCGTTTTAAGTGCTAATTTAAATTTTGATAAAGTGGTAGACTCCCGTAGATGAATTGGTAAAGCGTTCCACTGGGAGTGGGTCCGTGATGTTAAAAAGCTCTCTCCCCGAGTCTCTGACTTTTGCTTTGGACAGGTCTTAAAAGTCTTTTCGTCGCAGATCTTAAAGGCCTTAACAGTATGGGAAAATATGTGTAAAGAGACTTTTACATGGACTCAACCTTAGACCGAGCTGACATTGGGCCCTGAACCCACAATCTCACAATTCTGCGTCCAGTAGCCTTTAATAAATGTAAGTAAGTATGGGAAAAACAAACGGTTTCCTACCTTCTCGTATAAAGGCCTCCAGGTCTTTTTTCCGATTCGGGCAGAGAAGAAAGCTTTTGGGCATTTCGCTTCTCTAAGACTGCTGATAGAGATATTCTCGGGGAGAATGCTTCAATTTAAATACGAGAACGATATGTCCCCAACGAAGGAAAAGACTTCCATCAAGTTGAAATGTTGGTCCTTTTGTTCTTGGGAGATTTTTATGTTTGTTCTCTATCGTCCTTTTATGTTGTATTTAATTTATTAATTTACTTTCAATTTCTTCTCTGATTAAGTTTGCTTCTGCAATCAAAATCACGTCTGAAAATTTCGTTGATTCATAAAATATTAAGAACAAAAATTAAAAAGATAAAAGTAAAATTAACAGTAATTCAGTTAATTGTTTCGCCAAAAATGTTTCGAACTATCAAAAGCACAGTGAAGAAATATCCTTTGTGTACAGCGCCTAACTGAGCGTCTCAAAAGCTAATGTTATTCCTTTCAATCGGTGTATGTCTGTAGTGACATAATGGCCAACTTGCTGAAGTCGTAATACATATATTGTTATATATCTGTAAGAACAAGGAACGACAACCCATAAGCTCTGACCCTGGGATTAATCCACCAGTCTCCTAAGACCTTCGACCGACTTAGTGCAGCGGCACTGCATGTGACTTAATAAAGCCACGCCACACTGGAACCAGGTCACCCTTGTTCCAAAGCAACTCAGTTTGGTTTTTATATCGTCGCAATTTTCCTCTCTACCTGTCTTGGGTGTCGGACTATCGTCTGTGCTTCTTTCCTTTCTATCACCTGGAATCTGAGGGAAACACGTGACTGTAGAGTCGTTGTGACGTGGTAGTGGTCACCTCTGTGGACTGACGTCCTGCCTCCTGCTGTCAATCATAGCAGATCAATAGGAGGCTGTAAGTGCTAGGATTCTGGTCTGCTCTGGACAGTGGTCATTTTGAAAAGGGGAACGTAGAAAAGTGCGAGGGCGGAGGTGGGGTGGGGGTTGAATTGGGTGAGTTTAGGGGAGAGGGGAGGTAGGGAAAAAGTGGAGGTGACAAAGGAATTATGAGCGGACATCTGTCATTTTGTCAACAAGATAACGTTGTGATAATATTGTTATACGTCTATGGTGTGACGAAGGAGTGTGTAGGGTTATGGTGCGTAGTTGAGAGAGGAGGTGAGTGTCGATGAAAAGGGCAATGAGGTAGGGTGTGGTGGGGTAGGGGTAGGGTGTGGGATAACTTTAACCAACAGGCTTTGGCAACATTACTGTATTTCGCAGCCCGCATAATTCGTTAACCGTTAGTTTCATTATTAATTTATGAGACATATGATACTTGATTTGGGTGCTCGTACTCAGTTTCAACCGGTGGAATCAGTAATCCAGTGGTTAGGCTACCGAACTCGTGATCGTAAGACCGCAGGTTCAGAGGTTTGATGCTCAACTCGTTCCAACTTTGTGTCTTTGGGAAAAGCACCCCGAATGTTGCCATTTAGCTCGCATCTGTCAGAGATGGAGATAACATTCGGAGGCCTCGCCTCTAAAATGACCGTAGACTGATAAAAGGGTCGTTAAAGTTATACGATTTTTCAGTTTAAACAAAAGGCGTATTGATGATGGCGTGAAATATTTACAGCACCTTTGTCCTTCTATCCGTCTGTAGGAATGGCTTTGTTTGTTGTTGTTGTTTGTTTTTTTAATAAAAAAGCATTTTTCCTAATCTTGAATTTGTCTTTTGTTTTTGTTTTTGTTTTTGTTTTTGTTTTTGTTTTTGTTTTTGTTTTTTTTAATGGGGGAGTGGGGTGGGGTGGTATTTACTTTATAAAATTAATTTTGCTTCTTTTCTTATCTTTTTTTTTCTTTGGGGGCGGATGAGGGGTGGGGAGGGGATATTTACACTACATAAAATTCGGGGGGAAACTTAGCACAACAGATCAATGGAATACACTGGAATGTCCCTTCTCTGGCAAGGCTTATCACCTGCCGATCAGAAGTTCTTTTCTGTCTTTGGTTACTCCAGAGCCTTTGACACTCGACCGAAACAGCATCTAATCCAATACACTATGCCAACGTTGCGCTGCCTCTACAACTATAAATAAACCGTTTCACGTGATCCTTCACCCCCACGACGCCTTGGTAGCTGTACAAAAACATGAGAAAGAAATGGATCCTAGTATTGTGATAAGGCTAGTAACTTCCCAATATCGCGTGTCCTGAATCTCTTGCGAAAACAAGTTGTTGCAATGCTGTAAGATCTTCATCCCAAACCCCAACAATCTCGCTGTTAGCTTTGCCCGGGCGCTGCGCTGTGCGTTTGGAGGGGCAAACCGTTGATTCAGCAAACACCTGCCGTTTTTGCGTCGCTTTTGAGGTCAAATCTAATGAGTCTTTATCGCCCAGTGTCTATTTGTCTTTTCTAGGGGGGTTTTCTCTAGACTGGAAACATCTTAGACATAATAATTGTTATTCTTCCAACAAAAAAGCTCCATCTCATAGAATCTTGATATAGCTGGGAAATAGATGTTATTAAAATCTTGAACGTATAGAAGTAATATCATATATTAATCAAAAGATTTTCAATACCTAATCGTTAAGGTATCGGGAGAGAGAATGGGGGTGGGGGTGAGGTATTAAAAACAGAGAGAATGAGAGAGAGAAAGAGAGAGAGAGAGAGAGAGAGAGAGAGAGAGAGAGAGAGAGAGAGAGAAAGACAGACAGACAGGCAGACAGACAGACAGAGAGACAGACAGACAGACAGACAGGCAGACAGACAGACGAAGATGATAGACCGACAGACAAACAGACAAACTATGAGTTAGAGTGAATAAAGTTAACGATGATATCATTTGGGTTGCAAGGGTCCATGTCGAGAGTGGGGGAGTTGGTGTGAGAAAAAAGGGGGGAGAGCGTGAAAGAGGAACAGGAGTAGGAAGGGAATACTTAGCAAAGCACACAAATAAATGTCACAGCAAGGTTTCCTTTTGTCTCCACCTTCTCCCTTTCAAAACAGAATTGCCTCCATACATCCCTGAAATCGATGACGTCATTTTAAAGCACGCGTCGGCGATGCGCGTTGCTGTGTAAACATAACCTCCACCGCGCACCTTCCGGCCTCTTTAACAATGGCCCCTCCACGATCTACGCGATGAACGCGTGTACAACTCTCGCCCAAACGAGAAACCGGGAAATCTAACGTCAACAACAATTCAAGCTAATCAGAGAGTGTTACAAATGTGCGACTCTAAGCTTGTCCCCCGTATCCCCTGGGGTGGCTTACCCGTATCCATTTAGCCAAGTGGCCATCTTGCGGACGGGGGTCGCTTTTCACTGACTTTCGATTTTCATTCGCGCGCTGCTGTAGGGAACAATGGAGAAATTAGCCGGCATCTGCCCACTTGACAAGTTGGTAGGCACTGGGCGATGTGTGTGTGTGTGTGTGTGTGTGTGTGTGTGTGTGTGTGTGTGTGTGTGTGTGTGTGTGTGTGTGCATATGTTTGTGTGTGTGAAAGGGAAAAGAGAGAGAGAGAGAGAAAGAAAGAGAGAAGGAGAGAGACAGACAGAGATAGACAGATAGATTGATAGATAGATAGATAGATAGATAGATAGATAGATAGATAGATAGATAGATAGATAGATTGATAGATAGACAAATGGATAGAGAAGGGGGAGAGAGAGAGTGTGTGAGAGAGTGAGAGAGAGACAGAGAGAAAGAGAGAAGGAGAGAGACAGACATAGATAGAGAGAAAGGGATCGATAGATAAAGAGAGAGAGAGAGAGAGAGAGAGGGGGGGGGGAATAGAGAGAGGGGGTGGGGGGTCGGGAGTACGTATTAAAAGGGAAAAACATAAGGAGAGGAAGACCAAAAATTCATTGGAGATACTTTTGTTTGTCGGTCAGTCTGATTGTCTCTATTCCTTCACGTGCAAACCTGTCTTTCTATCTCTCTGCCACTCATGAGGCTTGATTTTTTTTTTAAATATTCTTTTCCTCGAACCCAACCTCTTCCTCGACATAATAATATACTCTATCTCTTACTCACTCTCTCTCTCTCTCTCTCTCTCTCTCTCTCTCTCTCTCTCTCTCTCTCTCTCTCTCCTTACTCTTTCAATCTCTTTATTTCTCTATCTCTCACTTCCTCTCTTCTTCTTTCTTTCTCTGTCTTTCTCTCTTTCTCCCCTCCCCTCTGTCACTCGCAAGTCACCTCTTTTTTATTCATCTGTCTCTCTTAGTTCACGCCTACCTTTTCCTTTCTTACTTAACCCTTCCGATAATTTCCCCTATTTCTTCGTCGTATTTGTACCATACTATATACCAATACTTTGTGTGTGTGTGTGTGTGTGTGTGTGTGTGTGTGTGTGTGTGTGTGTGTGTGTGTGTGTGTGCGCGCGTGTGTGTGTGCGTGTGTATGAATGTGTGTAAAATACATGTGAGTGTGTGTGCATGTGTGAGTTTATGTATGAGTTTTCGTGTGTGCATTATATAAATATGTGTGTACGTGTGTTTGTGTGCACGTGTGTGTCTTTTTGTGCGAGTGTGTGAGTGTGTAAGTGTGTGTTTATAATTTTAAGTTCTTGCGACCAAGTTGGCTTCTTTTCAAGGAGCTGTTCGACTTTCCCGACCTTTACTTACCTGCCCTTCCCGGCTCATTAGCACATTGACCTGGAATTCGTCCAAAATATGGGTTGAGACTTTTCGACACACATCACGACAACGACCACATTTCGCCACAAATACGAAATCAGCATGAACAAACAAGAACAGCAAGGATAAACGCGGCTTAGTGAGCTCTTATGGAATATACAATATGATAATTCGGAAGTCTATTTCTTTAGAAAAACCTGTACGACGATGTTTAAAAGGGCGTTAAATTCACACGCCAGCACACTATCGCACAACACGGCAAGATAATAATGATATTATGGTACATTGGTGTTTGTGGTCTAGCTGTCAGGCTCTTCGCTGTTGCACGCTGAAGGCGTGAAGTCTGTTCTTATGTGGGAAGGATGTTTTGCTCCGTTTTAATAGAATATGTGAGGCATCGTGGTGAAATCAGGAGCTGATCAAAATAATAAAATCAAAGAAATTGTCATTTTTTGGGCGGTGAGCAATTTTTCGAGTAATTTTTTTTTCCGCTCAACACTTTTTACGTCCATTTAAAAACATATTTTTTAGTGGATTTTACTGCAAAACATGGATTAAAGGCAGTACAAATGTACATTTTCAGTTTCCAAGGACTCTTAGGCTATGAAAGTTACCAAAATTTGGCGGCCATTTCCACACTAACTTTACCTCTGAAACCAGGCGACCCGGATCTTTTTCAATCTCAAATTGTTCGACTTCTATTCAAGATAGATGGACATTTTATTCGCCAAAAGGAAGGCAAATGAACAGGCTTTAGGATGATACCAATAACCCCATATGCCCAAAAAATAAGACCGCCTGATCCCACCACGTCGTGACACTTATGTTTTTATCTATACGTGTATATCCCCATGTCTGATAGAACACTGTATCCCCTCAGCCCCAGTTGGCCTGACACAGCAGGGTTGAAATTGGCCGCCTCCCAAATTATCAGAATTTTGTCGATGGTGGTGTAAAACTGCTACAAATACAAAAGCTTGGTACTGATTTACTTGCTACTTTTTACCTGATGGCTTCATTGCAGCTCTAGTGTCGTTGAATCATACTGTGTTATTCGTCTCCACTCCTTACTCCTGGCCACAT